AGAACTCCAGAATCAGTGTCCGGAGGTTGGCCAGGAAATCCGGGGCCGGGACCAGGGTGTTGAGCCGGTACCAGAGCATGGACAGGACTAGTTGATTGAGCACCAGTGCCCGCCCTCAAAAGGACAGACACCGGAGTAGTCCTGTCCATCTCCGGAGCCGCTCTACCACCCTGCCCTCAACCCTGCCAGTTCTCCGGCGGAGATGGATGCGTGGCAGAAAGGTGAACGCCGACATAGAGCAGCGGACCAGCGCTCCACCGAATGGCTTGAAGCGCGGGTGGGAGGGAGCTCGCCTGCCACCAGTCCCCTACCACCAAGGCAGAGCTCTTGACCCAGTTGACCCGGGCGGAGGAGGCTACCGAGTAGACGCCCTGGCAAGCCTCCACCCGCGCCAAGTCACCCGGGTCCTGGACCACGAGGAGCACATCATTGGCGTATGCCGACAGGACCAGCCGCAGCTCCGGCTCCCGTAGCGCCAACCCCGTCAACCTCCTGCGGAGGAGATAGAGGAAGGGCTCGATTGCCAGAGCGTACAGCTGGCCCAAGAGGGGGCACCCCTGCCATACTCCTCGCCCGAAGCTGACTGCTTCGGTCAGGGTCCAGTTGAGCCTGACCAGACACTCTGCGGAGGCGTACAGCACCTGGAGAAAACCCACAAACTGGAGTCCAAAGCCAAACGCTCACAGAGTGCTCAGGAGATTCCCGTGATCCACCCTGTCGAACGCCTTCTCCTGATCCAGGGACAGGAGGGCGAACGACAGACCGTCCCTACACCCGAGTTCCAAGAGGTCCCGGACCAGATATAGGTTGTCGAAGATGGTGCGGCCCGGGACGGTGGATCATGTCCGCCAGCACGGACACTAGCCACAGCGAGATGGCTTTCGCTACGACCTTGTAGTCCGTGCTGAGGAGTGAGACGGGACGCCAATTTCGTAAATCACAGAGGTCCACCTTCTTTGGCAATAAGGCGAGCATGGCTCGCCTGCACGAAAGAGGGAGGACCCCGCTCTGCAAACTAGGTGACTAGGTCTGGGCCAAGGACGTTCTAGAACACGCGGTAGAACTCCACGGTCAGCCCGTCCATGCCCGGAGATTTATTGGTGGGCATGTGGCGAAGGGCTTCCGAGAACTCGGCCGGAGTGAGAGGCAGCTCTAGCCGGTCTCGGTCGCCCGTGCTGACCGTCGGGAGTTCGTCCCAGAGCACTCTGCAAGCTTAGGCGGCTGGATCCGTATGGATCTCCTGCAGGAAAACCACGGAGTACCCTCCCTCCCGAAGGAAGGAGAGCACCTGGCACCTGCGGAGACCCATCCTACAGCCCCGAGTGTTAACGTTGTGATGGTGAGAGGTGCCATGAGGAGGGCTGGGGTGGGATCCTTGCCGGCAACAATCCGTGACCTACCCCGTAGGTAAGTAGGGAGTCACAGAAGAGGTGGACCAGCTGGTAGGCTGCAGCAGCCTGCTTCCTGGTCCTTTTACTCTCCCCCATGAGGGCCCTCACGGCCCGGAGGATTAGATGGAAATCCCCCCATCGCTGCAGGGCGAGCTGCACCTTATTACGGGAGCCCCGGACGTCCTCAAGGAACTCCCGCAGCTCCTCTCGCAGCGTATGGGGGGCCGGGGTCACTACTCCCCGGCTGTCCTCCGGAGGGACCACTGACACAGGCCCGTGGCCCACCGAAACAGGCAGGCAAGGGGCGGACCCCCGACATGGCGCCCAATGGGCTGGTGCCACGCTGCCCTCCTCAAACCCTGGCTCAAGTGGGGGCGGCGGAGGGAAGGTAGCAGCCCCTAGTGAGTCGGGACTGGGGAATACAGAAGCCGCTCCCTGGGGGCTATCCTCTAGGAGCGAGGAGATGACGGCCCCAGAGGCGGCAACGATATCACGGGAGACTGAGGGGGCAGGGACGAGGTTGACATCAGGGGCAGGGCAGGGATCTAGAGTAGGGGCAAGGTAAGGGTCGGGTGCAGAGTCAGGGAGAGGGGCAAAAGCAGGATCCTGAGTCCCAGGAGCCAGACCATTGGGAAATGGCCCCTCTCGATCCAGCTCAGGGAGCTGGGGGCGGGGTAGGGGGCCCTCTATGACGCTGGGCTCCGGCACCATGGCCAGCGTAGAAGCCACAGCATCTTCAGTTGGGTCCCCGTCTGGGAAGGAGGTCGGTCGCCCCACGCCCACGAGGCTCAGGTCCCAGCCGCACGGCACCAGCGGCCGCCTCGGTGGGCTCCGCAGCCAACAGCAGGGTGCCACCCGCAGCCAGGTAGATGGAGGAGCCCAGGGAACCCTCAGAGGCGGGAGCAGAAACAGCGGTTAGGGGAAGGGGACATGGAGAAGGCGGGGCCGGGGTGAAGTCGCTCAGATCGGGGCCCGCTAGCAAAGGGTCGTCCTCCCCCCTGGGGTGACTGGGGTCAGACCCAGGGCCTCGATCTCCTCGTAAATGGAGGGGAGCTCTCCTTCCGCCACCCCGGAGGTCTCCCCGCCAGTGCCCGAAGTGACGCTCGCCCCGGGGCTCACGGGGGTTCTGGATGGTAACGGGGCAGGTGGGGCTCCATCGGGGGCCTTGGAGGGAAGGGACCCCAAAGGAGGGACGGTACTGCCCTCCCGTGCTGCCACGTTTTCCCCAGCCGGCACCAGGGGATGGCACGCCCCCACAGGCAAGGCAGAGGGCTCGGCATCGGCGTCCCCCCTTTCTGGTCTGCTGGGGGCTTCCGCATCGGTGGAAAGAAGTGGACCACGAGCCCTCCGCTTGCCCCGCTTCCCCTGGACTAGAGCCCAGCCCTCCATGGCATCATCAGGGGGCCGGCTAACAGGGGTCGGGTCGGGGGACAAGGACGATGGCTCAGGGACCGTGGGAGGCAGCGGTGGGGCGGAATGAGAGAGGGAAGATTCCCCCTGGGGCGGGCCCTCTCCCATGCTCGGCGGTATCCCTGCCGCACCCTCCTCTAGGGACCCCGCCGGATTGCAGGCAGCAAAGGCGGGGCTCTCCCGCTTGTCTGGGCGTGCTGTGGGGAGCACCCCTGGGGCCCGAGTGGGAGCAGTGATGGACTGAGTAGGAGGAGGGGCGGCTCCCAGATGCCTCTCCGTGCTGGGCCAAGGGGCAGTCCCCCTGGACGTGCCCCATCGCCCGGCAGAGGTAGCACCAGCCCCCCCCCCCCCCCCAAGGGGCAGTAGTTGGAGCAGTAGCAACAGAACCCAAGAGTGGGTGGGGGAGTCCAGCAGCTAGCCAGCAACCAGGTAGCAGAGAAGGGTGGTGGGTGGGTGGTGTTCGGCCCAGCCAGGGGAGCAGGGGCAGTGGCAGCAAGGGCCCAAGGCCCAGGAGCAGCAGTCTCTCTCCTCCCTCCAGGCCAGTTGGGTACAGCAGAGGAGCAGAAGGCCGATATGCTGGCCACTGGATTAGCAGTTTTTTGTTCCCTGACTGACCAGAGCAGGGGCTGCTCCAGGCTAATGAGAACACCTGACTCCAATTAACCTGCAAAGAGTCAGGTGAGGCCATTAAGCTAATGTGACCACCTGACTCTAATTAAGGCCCCTCTGATACTATAAAAGGGCTCACTCCAGTTTGGCAGAGAGGAATCAGGGGAGAGGAAGTGTGGTAGAAGAGCTTGTTAATGAAGACACTAGTCATTGGTAAGGGAGCCTTAAGATAAGGGTGAAGAAGGGAGAAGCAGGAGAGCTGTGGGGAAGTGGCCCAGGGAAATGTAGCAACTCTGGCAGTAAAAGGTTGGCTGCCAACAGCTGCTACCATTAGGGTCCCTGGGCCAGAACCCGGAGTAGAGGGCGGGCCCAGGTTCCCCCAAACTCACCACTACAGAAACACCTCCTGGGAGGGGAAAACAGGCCCCTGTCAGGACACGAGACTAAACTGTTTTGGCATGAGGCTGTAGGAGCAACAGAGACTGTGGGAGTTCTCTCACCAACCTCCTTGCTGGCTTATGATGAAAAGAGCTCAGTAGACTGTATCCCTGGCCCTAGAGAGAGGAGGGCTACATGGAGGGTTGCAGTGAGCCTCTGAAGCTAGCATAAACTGCCTGGAAGCGCGGGACCCACAGGGACAAGGTCAGAGCTCTGCCACAATGAATATACAGAGGATATAAACCTGTCTAAAAGACCACTGACAAAGGGCAAATGTAAACACCAACATATTGACATGGAGGGGTCTAGGGGGATCCACAATCATCAGCGTTAGCATCACTCTTTGGTGTGATTTAGAAGAGGGAGCTCTCAGAACCCTGATGAAAAACACACAAGTAAGGATAAAAAAAACTTTAAAATGGAAATCAATTTTGTTTCAAGTCAACTGAAAATGTTTTGGTCGACTTGAAACTAATCAAAAACATGAAAAATAATAATTTCTAGTCAACTCAAAACATTTCTGGGATTCAAAACAATTTTTTTGAGTTTTCAATTCAATAAAAACAAAATTTAAATGTTGTTTTGGTTCAAATCCAACCGGCTTTTTCTGGATGCTTTGATTCAGCCCCTGAACTGTAGTTCTGTAGTACTGAATTAGTAATTGCTCAGCTCAATTCCTGAGTTCGTAGAGAATGCCAAACACCAAGGGTGGTGGGGCTATGTCGTGCAACACCAGAGCTGTAACAAGTGTATTGGGAGCCCAGGATAAGTGCAAGGCAATGTCTTAAACCCTTGGCACCAGTGGGTGCATCATGGCATTACCAGCTGTCGACTCTTTGAGAGAAAAGTGTGATGCCTATTGTTAAAGAGTCAGAAAGAGTTCAGGTAAAACACTATGGGTGAAGTCCAGGCTCTAATGAAGCTAATGGCAAAACTCCAACTAACTTCAATGGGGCCAGGATTTCACCCTCGGGTCTTAATTCAACCCTGGCGTAAATAAATGCCTTCCCCATGAAGTCATGAGAGCTGCACTCACTTATGCTGCTGCCCACTTTGACCTTATGATCTTTTGTTTCCTTATAGCTGTAAAAATCATTAAGTGCCTCTCTGTTTTTTCATGATGCCAGTCACATCTCGTTCCATCAAACCCACCTTCAAAGAAGCCATCCTCGTCCATGTCCCCATAGATGTAAATATACTCTCCAGCAGTCAGTGGGAGCTCTGACTCCGGGTTCTCATTAGGACCATCAAAAGGATTATAGCTGAAACACATGCAACAATAAAATGTACTTTGTACAGCAGCTTCCACTGGTCACACTACATCAGCTCACTGGTCAACTGAGGCTGGTATCCTGCCTCTGGGAGTAGCCAGTGCTTCCGAGGAAGGCCAAAGCATAGCTGCTTCCTGGATCCTTGGACCCAAACTTTTTGAGTCCATGGGCTCCCTACTAGCCCAGGGCACAGATCTCGTGGTACACATTGGATCTATTCATGGTGAGCAAGTAATTGTCCCAGGTCATTTGCAGCTAAGAGGATGTTATGTCTTTAAAACTGTAGTTGCATATCCTGAACAGTAAACGGGTACATATGTTTCCCCATAACTACCTTGGGTATCAGAATTAACGTTTCACAATCATTATCAGAGCCGACCAGAAAATGGGGGTTTATTCTGTGGAAAATTTTGGATTTTTGCTGAAAAAAAATTGAAACCGAAACTTCAGCCAAAACCAGAAAGTTTTTGGTCAAAAACTACATTTTAGTTTTGCAGCTGCAAACTTTTCAGCTTTGATGGTTCTTTGATGAAAATGTGACATTTTCCCCAGAAAGAAGGCACTTTCACAAAAAAATATGCATAACTAAAACCCCAATTTTCATAAACAAAACAGTTGAAAAGGAAAATTTTCAGCCAGCCCTGCTGGTTATACAACTTGTGAGTTTGCTACGTTTTGACATATGCAACTATTATTTTTGTTTGTATAGATCCTTAGCACTATGGGTATTCCCGAACTCTATCAGAGGCATGCACCATCTACTCCAGTATCTCGTCTCCAACAGTGGATAGTGCTAGATGCTCATAAAAAGGAGCAAGAAACCCCAAAGTGGACAATTATGGGATAGCCTGCTCCACAGATCAACCCTGTAGCCAAAAATCCCCTCATTTCTTCCTTCCCTTTACACCAAGGCCCTTGTGTGTAGTTCAGTACCTGTAACGAGTTAGGAAGACCTGGAGTTTTGCAGGGCCTTGGTTCTCTGACTCTGGAATCAAAGAGATGCTATCAACATCCAGTTCTTCCATTTCACTTGCAGTGTCCACCTAAGAAACACAAAAATAAGGAGAGAGAGGCTACAGCTCTGACTAAAGGAACAGTGGCAGAAAGATCACAACAGCAGTGAAGCAACAGAAATCTTATTTCTGAGCTGGTGTATACAGTCTGATTACACCAGTAGTATACTGCACAGAGAAGCAGAGAATGGTTAAACTATCTGTAGGAACTGCTCTGGGAAGCTAGAATTGGTAACAGATGCACATTCTTGGCTCCAGGACATAAAAATACATCTAGTAGTCAGAGGACTAAATCTACAGTCCAAGGTCGATATGAAAGAAGTGGTGAGAGGGCACCTCTAGAGAGGTCAAGGCACAAGTCCCTGGTAAGAAGCCTGAAACCTCTGCCATCCCCAGCAACTGGGAAAGTGCCATCCCTGGACCCTGCTCCATCTTTTGTAGCCACCTCTGTATATTAAGGGTGAAATCCTGGCCCTATTTAAGTGTATAGGAGTTTTGCCACTGTCTTCACCTATTGAGCATCTTATGTCTGCCCACATCTAAAGGCCCCTCCCCCCAGCCTAAGGGGAGGAGCTACCAAAACCAGAGCCCAGATGAGTTCAGGGGACAAATAATGAAAAACGGATGGGAGTGAGACCAAATGGTCAAAATCAGGGAGCCAGAAAGGCCCAGACAGCGCCCACTGCTGCTTGAAGGCATCCACGGAGCCCATGGACGCAGCACAGTGGAACTCTGCCCAGATGAGGATTGAAGGGAGAAGTAGAAATAGACCCCACAGTCACAGAGCACCTCCCCATCCAGCGTTCTCCTCCTGGTACGGTGGACAGCCACCTTGGCCAGTGCCAGAAGGAGTTTGACGAGGAGGTCTCAAAACTTCGTGGAAACACAGATGGGGTGTGCGTAGATCGGGAGGTGCAAGGAAAAGGGCAGCCAGAACCTGAGGAGAAGGTTCTGGAGGTGCCGGAAAAGGGGCTGCAACCTGGCACACTCGAGGTACATGTATACCAGGGTCTCCCTCATGCCACAAAAAGGGCAGGTGTCAGCGACGGGGTGAACCGCACTAAGTACATGCCTATGCTCACAGCTCCATGAAGAACCTGTCAACTAATATCCCTGGCCTTGGAACCAAGGTGGAATACAGACTGGCCCACTGTTTTCAATTGAGCCAACATTTCATTCTCAGTCTATTCTACTTGTGTAGCCCCCTGCCTGCTGGAAGGGTGAAGGAGCTTTCTCTTTTCTTCTCTCCTCTTGAGAATCTCCTGGATGTTGCAAGTGGGGCAGGTCCCGCCTGTTCTACCCCCCTGGCCTCCTGGAAGCACGGAGGAGTGGTGGGGAGAAATCTCTAGCACTCTACCCCTCCCCAATCTCAGTTTCTTCTGTCAGTCTGTCTGTACCACACCCATCATCACAGTGTCTAGGTCTTCCTGTGCCTACACCTGGATCTGCTCAGAGATTTCCCAGACAGCAGGAGCATGAAGCTGACATGAATCTTGATAGTTTCATGGCTGCCCAGGGTATTTGAATAGCAGCAGTGAAACTCACCAGCATTGTGTTAATTTCACTCTACAGCTACAGGGCAAATCTGCAAAGGCAGGGCAGCTGTCTAACTGCAGACTCAGTAGGATAGCTGTGTAGTGGTTGCATTCACTATATATTTAGAAGTAAAATGAATGTAACCATGTTGCCTAAAATACTTTTACTAAAAGCTTGAATTCTGCAGAAATTGGTGCCATAAGCGGCTGTGCTCTGCAGTGGAAATTCACCACTCACCACCAAGCAGGAGACTTTTCAAGCCCTTTTCAGGTCCTTGCTTACTGCATGATACTCTTGTGTACTGTCGCCACCTCTGAGCCTCACTTTCTCTCTATTCCTAATGTTTTTCTCCCAAATGCTTCATAAATATAGTGCTGAAATAATAGGGCTGAGGGTCTGCACTAAAGTGCTTTAGTAACAACAATATGTAGCAGTTGAGGCCTGTACAAACCTATTTCCAACATGAATGGTTAATATTAAATTTATATCTCAATAAGCAAATTCAATAATTACTTAATGTATACAAAAAGAAAAAGAGTACTTGTGGCACCTTAGAGACTAACCAATTTATTTGAGCATAAGCTTTCGTGAGCTACAGCTCACTTCATTGGATGCATACTGTGGAAAATACAGAAGATGTTTTTATACACACAAACCATGAAAAAATGGGTGTTTATCACTACAAAAGGTTTTCTCTCCCCCCACCCCACTCTCCTGCTGGTAATAGCTTATCTAAAGTGATCACTCTCCTTACAGTGTGTATGATAATCAAGGTGGGCCATTTCCAGAACAAATCCAGGGTTTAACAAGAACGTCTGAGGAACAGTAGGGGGGCGGGGGGAGGAATAAACAAGGGGAAATTGGTTACTTTTTATAATGAAGTTATAATGAAGTTATAAAGTTTATAATGAAGTTACATTATAAAAAGTAACCTATTCCCCCCTCCCCCCCACTGTTCCTCAGACGTTCTTGTTAAACCCTGGATTTGTGCTGGAAATGGCCCACCTTGATTATCATACACATTGTAAGAAGAGTGATCACTTTAGATAAGCTATTACCAACAGGAGAGTGGGTTTGGGGGGAGAGAAAACCTTTTGTAGTGATAAACACCCATTTTTTCATGGTCTGTGTTTATAAAAACATCTTCTGTATTTTCCACAGTATGCATCCGATGAAGTGAGCTGTAGCTCACGAAAGCTTATGCTCAAATAAATTGGTTAGTCTCTAAGGTGCCACAAGTACTCCTTTTCTTTTTGTGAATACAGACTAACACGGCTGTTACTCTGAAACCTGTCATTAATGTATACAACTGCACAATATAGTTTTCCAGATTAGAAGAAACTCTAATTAATACTAATTAAATAACAAATCAATATATTGTTTTAAGTGATTACCACAGTCTCTTAAGTGAACATTCTGAGGGTTTTTCAATCCTTTCTATGAAGCACTTTGTCTCTGTGAGTGACAGAAATGTCCAGCCGTCAGATCTACCGATTCAGGCACCAATCTCTGCAAACACTATGCCCGTGCTGAATTTTACATATAAATTGAAACTCCCTTGAACTCGGGTGTTAGGTGTTTGCAGACTGGGGCCTAAGCTGTGCTTTAAGAAAAAAAGGTAGAATCCTAAAGCCCCTACTACTGGGAGCCTCTTCCACTTTCATTTGAAATCAGCTTCCCTCTCCCCAGAAAACACTTCCTCTACCCCCATTCTCTATTCATATACTCTGAGAATTTCCTACTTGACTCCCTCTGGTCTGTGCGGCTGGTAGCAGATGTCAAATACAAAGAGCAGCGTTTCTTCTTCTCTGCTCCTACAGATAGTAAACAGTAAATCGATCACTGGGAGCAATGATTTATCCCTGTAATAGGGATACACGCCTAACTCCCAGCTGATCAAGCAAAAGTTAACAGCCCACAGATGGGAAGGATGGGCTCTGCTCTGGAGAGCTTGTCTGAGATGCTCACAGTAGAGGGAGAGCCCTGCAGATGGGCTTGCTATGTAGCAGGTATAAAAAGGATAACCTGTGTCCTTTCTCTTATGCCTAGGGTGAGCCACTGTGGTGGGCTAGGTTTAGAGGCCGGGCCTTCCTGTGTCTGGCATTGGTTGACGAGAAATCCAGCCTTGTGTTTTTACTCTGAGCCCTGAATGCCCCATACCCCCACCTCCCCACAGGACTTGACATGAGGACAGATATTTGGCATGCATATGAACTCTTTGGGCTGCAGCTGGAGGAAATCCTGGTGGTGGTGTGAGCCTTAAAGGGGCAGGACATTTTTCTTTGTTCTATTTGCCTACTAGCCTTTATTGGGGATATCCGGCACTTTACCTGGCTCCTGCCTGCTATATGGCCACCTGAGACTTTGATGAGCCCCAGAGAAAAGGTGACAATCTGGCACCTGGCCATGGTCCCACTACCTCTGCTTTCAGAAGGCTTTGAGAATCACCTGAGCAAAGAAGAAATCTCTAAAAGTTTAAGTAAAAACAGTTCAGCTCTTCTCAAATACAAGGAAAACAAAACATGTGAACACAAGTGAAAAGGCTGCACTGCTCCCATTACAAATTATTGCAGACTGGCGTGGAACAGCCAAAGCTTGAAAGTTGCAAGTAGGCAGGGAAACAGCCTTCACTAAGGAGCAATGCACAGTCTACCATGAACTGCGATCTCTGTCAATCTGGGATTTCTTGTAAGCCAGAAGAGCTTTTAAGCCCTGCAGACTGAAGGTCCTTCTCATCTTTCTTTTGAAAGCCAGCTTTCTGAGATTACACAGTCACTATTTTTCAGATAACACATGTTGTGAAACTCTTTTCTACAGCCTTAGGTACACGTGTGCGTATGTCAGACAGAATGCACCCAAACCACTTGGAGTGCTGCCAGCTCTTGCGATTTTATCACAAGTCTCGCAATATTTCATGTTTTTCTTGAAGCTTCAGCTCCTGGAGTCAGGTGATTTAATGAGAATCTCAGCTTTCACTGAAAAAAGTAAGATCCTAGCCCTTGTGATTTCAGAGAAGATCTTGAAAATGTGAAATGAGTGCAGCCTAAAGGCTAAAAATACTGGAGACAAAAAAAAAACAAAATTCTCATGATTTTTATGCCAATCTCATGTTTTTTAAGGCTTAATTCATTATTTTTCAATGCTTGGGGTTGGCTACATTTCCTTTGCATGAAAAATATACAGACAAAATTTCCTTCAGTGACATACTCAAGATTCATAGCTTATAACACCAGAAAGGACCACTATGATCATCTAAACTGACCTCCAGTATAGCTCACCATAGAACTGCCCCAAAGGAATTTCTAGAGCAGATCTTTGAGAAAAACATCCCATCTTGATTTAAAAGGTATCAGTGATGGAGAATCCACCCTGAGCCTTGGTAAATTGTTCCAGTGGTTAATTACTCACAGGTAAAAATTTACACCTTATTAATACTTATCAACATGGGCTTATGGAAAACAGATTCTGTCAAACTAACTTGGTATCTTTTTTTG